TGATATACCATGATTTTGACCCGTTTTAGTCATGATATATTGGTGTTTTTACTACTATTTATTACATTATAAGCATTTTTATAGGTTCAGAAGTATTTTGGACGAAAGTGATGTTTTTAGAGCATTTTAGAGAGAATTGGAGAAATCACTCGATTTGGAATCGACCAAGACAATGAGGTCGACATGGAGTGACTCACGTTGATCGACATGCACCTAGCATGATCGATCAACGCCAAAGGCGCGGAGACAAATTTGCGAGAAAGCCGACTTGAAGTCCAAACATCTCCAAATGATGATTTTACCCCTGACGAGTTTTAACCTAATTTTATATACTCTGCCAAAGTGTTAGAGGCAGATCAACAGAGAGATTTGTGATTGAAAGTCCATTGTTTTATATATATCTAATACTATGCAGTTTTATTACTTTGTTTATTCACTCATGTATAATGCTTGGTTAGCTGCATTGATCGATATTCCCATCAGAAATCGATCGACGTCGAGTAAAGTGAATTGATCGATGTTCCTATAGAATAATCGATCAATTCTGCCATTGATCGGATATTCTTGTTTTGGTCAGTAACACTCTATTCAATAGACTTGATGTCTGGTAAGTGAAAACTTACCTGCTCCCAGCGGGTCATTGTAGTATAGTGGTAAGTATTTCCGCCTGTCACGCGGGTGACCCAGGTTTGATCCCCGACAACGGCGCCAAATTTGATATCACTCAAATTATCCTAAGGAGTGAATTATTCTCTCAAATAAGAGGTTCAGTTGTAGTATTTAGTGATCAAATTCACAAGGAGCTAGGGAACCAATTAGATCTAAACAGTTATGAATAATCTAGGCAAAAAAATAATATAACAATAAATAAAACAGTAAAGAGAGTTGTTTGATGGAAGGATGGTTGCTAGATCTAGGGTTTCTATTCAGGTATTGGAGATTATAATCCTATAGGTACTAAACAGTTGTATACATGATATTAAAGAGCTTAACCACTAAATAACAAATCAAGCAAAGTGCTCGCGTTACTAAATAAGTCTATTAACTAGATCTTATTGACCCAAAAAATAATGTCCGATCAATAACAGTGTCGATCGATATCCTATAGGAATATCGATCAATACACTTTACTCGACGTCGATCGATTTCTAATGGAATATCGATATATGCGGCTAGTTAAGCGTTATGCGCGAGTTAATATATACTCACTATGGATCTCTAGATCAAGCTCTCGCCCTGTTTCTAGTAATATCCTAGCTTAATAGAATGAATTCAGGATATCTATGATTGTCTAAAGGTTACTCAAACAATCTAAACTCCTTGGATCAGGTTTCTAGGTAGCTAATCTAGAACATAGGCATTAAGAACATCATATTAATAAGGATTTTTAACATAAAAACCCCTCAGCTAAGTTTGTTTTGGGTAAAAACCCCTAAACTAAGTATTTAATGAAAAAACCTCCAAACTAACTTTATTTAGTGAATTAAACCCTCGGCGGTCATAATTACCAGTGCTACCGGTAAATCTTTAGTTTAGGGGTTTTATCATTAAACATTAAAAATCAAAAATCAAAAAATCAGAATATAATAACATTATCTAAAAATTCGTAATTTTAATTTTCAAAACTAGCATTTTTAAAATTTCTGTAAATATATGCGTGATTTCTTATCCTTGTAAAATGGATTTTTAACTCTAAAATACCTTAACTAAGTTTTTCTTGGTAAAACCCCCCAAACTAACAAGTAAACCCCCATATTAAAGATAGTTGAAGGGTTTTTATCGTTAAAAATCTAAAAAAAAAATTATAACATTATCTAAAAATTAGTAACTTAAATTTTTAAAATTAGCATTTTTCAAACTTTCTGTATATATATGAGTTTTATTTGTTTTAACATCAACATTATATATATCTATATATATATATAGATTAAAATTTTAAGACACCAAAATATAATAAAAATCATCTAAACATTTATTATTAAATTTTTATTAAATATAATATAATTTTTATTCTGTTTTCTTGTTTTTATATTTATAACTTTTGATAATTTTTATTACAGGTAAAATCTTGAGATAATTGTTGTTATATTTTCTTGATTTTTACATTTTAAATTTATACATATATAATTTTGATTTTAAAAGGATAACAAATCAGACTCATATAGTTACAGAAAGTTTTTTTTTTAAATGCAAATTTTAAAAATTAAAATTACGAATTTTTAGATAATGTTATTATATTTTGAATTTTATTGATTTTTATGTTTAATGATAAAACCTCTAAACTGAAGATTTACCGGTACTACAGGTAATTATGACCGGCGAGGGTTTAATTCACTAAATAAAGTTAGTTTGGAGGTTTTTTCATTAAATACTTAATTTAGGTTTTTTTACCCAAAACAAACTTAGTTGAGGGGTTTTTATGTTAAAAATCCTATTAATAAATATCACAACAAGCGATTCTATAGTTGAGGCTAATCCTTCTAACCTATTTGAACCTAATCCTAACATGTGTATCTATTCAGACATGAAGTTTATCACAAAAATCATAGATGAATAGATAAATAGGTTAAACAAAATATGAAAACCAAAGAATCAAAGGAGTTCCAAAAGGAATCTGATGGAGTTCCTTCGTTCTCTCAAAGAACTTAGAACAATAGAATAAAGCTTAGCCGTCAACAATGGCTTACAAACACACATAAATAAGGTTTCTGGTTGTTCAGGGTCATTATGGTAAATTATGGTAACTCCTGGGCTCAAGTTGGTCTTGAAATATACTCGGCCCACGTTTGGGGATCCATATCGATCGATACAAGTAATGTTGAATCGATCGATTTTCCTTTATCTACTCAACAACTTACTCTCCCGAGGCAGACTGACCACTCTTCAGTAAAACATACATAACTTTTGCTACATGATGCTGATTGACCTCAAACCGGTGCAATTGAAAATCTAACTCAAAGTTCCATCTTGTGTCAGAAGATGGGAGAAATCTAACGGTGGAAGGTCTCCATCCATAGCTAAACATCTGACGCGTCTGTGCAGTTTTGCACTCAAAAGGCTCCAAAAGATACAAAAATCACCATATTTCTCGAGAACGTACTTGAACCTATAAATACTCTACAAATCCTCTATGATATAATAAATAGTTATTAAAACACTCATATACCATGACTAAAAATGGATCAAAATCATGGTATATCAATGCTATGAAGTTAACGTTTTCAGTAGAGGTTGAAGAGGAAAAAGGAAACATGATTGAGATTCCCTTATGCGAGAATGGTGAATCTACTAATGCTACCTTTAAGGAAAGAGATTTGTACTTAAATCTCAGAACAGAGCACCTGTTTGTTAAACTGTGGACGAGCAAGTGAGTGAGTTTGCTGATGGATTTGAAAAGTTGTTATTGGTAAATAACAAAATCTTCTTTTAAGACTTTGAAGAATCAGATAACGTCATTAAATGGTTTTGGGAGGTAACCTTATTGGATTAGTTTCTTGGTTTTTAAAACCTTGTTTTCTTTCACTCTCTATAATGAGTTTTCCTGTTTAGTTGGTCGATGGCATGGATGAAGAGAGGATACAAATTTTTCTCTACTTTTGGACGGCTAGGATGTACGTACATATGGGAGGCTCTGAAAAACTCCCAGAGAGATTTTCCATTTCTAAACAGTTCGGCCTTGATGATACTCGCTATTCTCTCCCGAAATCCCAGACCAGCAATTCTCAGCTACATATTAGAGAATACAACAGTTTTGAAGAGATGGAAGAAGATTTTTCCTACATCACCACTACATTGGTGGGTTTTGGTTTGGTATATGTATACAATTTAACTCATTCCTAATTAATCTCTATATATAATAGCAAAACTTTTTTTATCTAACCGATGACGTTATAACTTTTTTTATAGGAAAAAAGTATGACGCTCTATATTCATTATATCAATCAACGTCCTCATCCTACCTCCACAAAAGTCATCCCCTGAACAACTTATCTTCACTTTGTATCTTTTCACCCTTAGCATTTCAATGGAACCGTCTTAAACTTTGCAATTGTTCAGAAGTTTATACTGAAGAGATTTTATGGTTTGCAGACTTATTTCAAGTTTTCAGATCCACGAATGAGAACAACTCAATCATTCACTTTGTTCAAATTAATTTTCTCTCTTCCATATTCTTAACTTTTGTTAAAGACTGTCCGGGTTCTTTATACTTTCGTGTGAATCTAGTTTTGTCTGATTAAGTTTGTTCCATGTTGATGTCAAGGCAATCAGATGTCTATTAAAAATGAGGGAGATTTTCGAAGATACCTTAAGAAATAAAGTCAAGGACAACATCATGAAGTTTATGTTTAAGATCGATAAATTTTTTAATGTGAATTATAATTATGCTGTTTCTTCCCAGTGGCTAAAGTTGTTGTACACTTGGTAATTTTTTTACAAAATCGATATGGGGGTATATGAGAACATTATGTGTTGAACACTGAGTTAATAACTCTACACACATTTTGAGTGTTTCTCCATCTGAAAATTCAACTACTAAAAGGAATCAACTTTGCAGGCATGAAATGGCTTTCTGCGTCCAGTAAGTCCATTCCCTTATACTACTATCTCATTCCCTTATACTACTATCTCATTAAGAATTCAAACCTGCATATTTTGGCACCAAATTAATATGCACACAAGTGAAAGAACCTGGCTAGACTACAAAGTCTTAGCATGAAGAATAGAAGATACTCTAATGAATGGATGCTTTCCAAATAACATTTGAGTACATTCCAAGGACATGAATTGCATAGATGAGAACATTTTTTTACATGGACAAAAATCAGATGCAAGCGATTTCAACACTTTCTAATAATTTCTCTAGGTCAGTAGTTATCATATTATTATAAATACTGCCCCCACAAATATATCAGTTCTCATCCAATTATATCAAACTATAGAGGCATAAAAAGAAAAGACAAAAACACCCAAATAAAACAAACCACCTTATTTGAGTCTATTTATTTCGGCAAAGAAGAAACGTAAGCAAGCAGTGATGTTGTATCCATCATCTCAAGTTGGGGAGGACAAGGCATCGATTCCATCCACTGTGGGAGCACTAGTTGAAATAAGTAGAGCGGAAGTATATCATACTCACCTAGGATTAACATGTTGAAACTAGAAACCCCATGCAGATATTCCTGACAAAGAGACTGGTTTAGGGAAAAACCTTGATGATGATCGTCTCTGAGGTTTTTGTAGTTTTTTGTCTTCAAGTTGCATGAAACCAAAAAAGGTTCTTTTGACTCCATATATAGAAAAGATGGTGATCATAAGGATTTATTGAAATGGGTAGATAAAATCTGATATCAAATTGGAGACGAATATCCCACAAAATTTGCCAGTAATCATCATTGTTCAACCTCCAAACCTTGAGAAGATTGTCTCCCAATGTTTTGATATACATAACAAATCTGCAGGATGCAGTCAAGGCTCTTTCGAGGTCCCCAGGATTATGATTGGGAGAAGTATAGTCCGACATAGTCCTGTTTCACCATAGAAATCATGAGCGAAAATTGTTACCGAATCACCATCACGATGACTAAAACTTGTTAGAGAAAAATAAAGCATGCCATTCAAACTTATAGGACGACGGGGGATGGCTAAGTAAAGAGGACAGCGAAGTCGCTTGATAATTCCTGTCTCAGAAGAATAGATACACAGAAACAAAAAAGTGGACGATTTGTCTCTCCAGGGTTCCACTGTAGCCAAGTAAACCACTTTGAAGCCGAGAACAATGCCGTCCTTGTCTGTGGGGGTCACCAGACCAAACAGAATACATGGATGTAGATATGGACGTGGAGGGATTATCATCCAATCTTGTAACACTGGATTAGCGACAAACAAAGCATCAGTAGGTCCTTGCACTAATACCAATCCACTGAAAGAAAAAGCCCCAAGATATACACCAGTTCCGGTGGCTACCATCTCCTGCAAGTTGAAGGGTTCTTTTTCTTGAGTCTGTAATGACCAACCGCAAGAGGAATTTTGCTGCACAGACACAAAGAGATGCCGGAAGTACACAAATTCCATTGCTGATTTCCATCTTCCGCACACTGTTTTGAATCTGGAGATGCTTCTCAATGGCAACCTCACTAGAATCTGCGTTAAGATCTCATCCGGCAGATCTTTTCAGTGTGCCATGGGTCTCTATGAGGTGATCGGTACCATTATGCTGGACAAGTGGCACGATGATGAAAAAGAAAATGGCTCTACAAAAAGCATACACAAGCCTAATCTCAACAAAAATCACAATTCACAAAGAAATAAAACAAATCTCATAAAAGAAAAAAATCAAATAGATCGATCAAGATGACCTCAATTGAGGTAATCAATCAGCTTAATGAGACATTCTCCTCAAGCCAAACCAGGGGACGTATTATCTTCCCCTCACAACTCCACTTCCAGAGATAATCATTAATCCAGATCTACACACTTCTTAATTTATTTGATAACATTTTTCAGATATTTAGATATGCACAAGATCTCGGACTGTCCTAAAAGTACTCATAATTGAGTTCGAAACTAAGAAACCGAACCGCTCAAATTCAAAAACCGAATGTCCATCTCTATCTCTCTAGCCTGACCGAATATGACTCGAAGTTATCTACGTGGCTTTTGTAACATAGGCAGTGGAATTAAAGTGTCGTATAATACAACTGTGCTTTATAAGATTTGCAAGATAAGTACAGTTTAATTAAAAATCATGTAGTTTAATTGAAAAAATGCTATTTTGAAAAAAAAATAGTAATGCAGTGAATAAATAATACATTTTTGATAAAATAAATATATTACCACAATTATAAATAAATGTACATATTTCAATTTTGATATATAAATGTTAAAAATTACAAATATTTTTTCATATTATTATATAATCCAATTCAAAAAAGTCAATTTTGGTTTTAAGTATTTTCACTAGTTTTGTTAGGTTTGACATGTTTTTAACAATTTTGACCGATAAGCTGAATACGTTTTAACAAAAAGATGCAAAAACATAAAATTGAATTTTAAATTTTAATATAAATAATTACTTATATATTTTTATATTTATCCGATTCTGTTGTTTTAAGAAAAATAAGTTTTACAACACTATCAAAACAAACGTAAAGCCTGAAAAGTATGTCGTATTATTGTAACATACAGATTAACTTGTGATATGAAAATAGAAGATATAAAATAAATGAATATTGGAATAATTTTTTTAGGCAACTAAGTGTTAATTATTATACAAATTTAGTATTTAGGGGGTATGATTGAATTTATAAAACTTTATGAATATTTTAAAACTTATTCGTAAATATTTATATATTATTTATGAGAAATAGTTTAGTTTTGTAATTATAAATTGGTTTACTGTTAATGGGTAAATACATCAAATAAATAATTTATTTAATAATGATTCACTAAATATTATAATTACATAATATTAGTTTCAAATAATTGTGATATTCAATAGAACTATAGAACATCAAACATGTTATTTTTATGTGTTTTACTGGTAGCATAATATTATAATATAAGAAAGTTGTGTTGATTTATAAGTCAGATACTGAATATACAAATAAAATAGGAAAAACAATTCGCAGCTGCACGAACTATGTAGCATCACATGGCCAACCATCCAGAGAAAACTAATAAGCGGCGCGGAAAAGATTGATTTGTGGGAAAAAAAACATTTTGCAGTTTTGGTAAATGTTAATTAAGAAAATATAAAATTACCTAGATATTTATGCAACTAAATATATTGTATAAGAATTGGATAACGTTATTAAATGGTTTGGGAGGTAACTTTTTGGATTAGTCTCTTAGTTTTTAAAATCTTGTTTTCTTTCACTCTCTAAAATGAGTTTTCCTGTTTAGTTGGTGTATGGCATGGATGAAGAGATGAGGAAAACCCTTCTCTACTTTTGGACGGCTAGGATGTACCTATCTATGGGATACTTTGAAAAACTCCAGAGAGACTTTCAATTGCTAAATTATTTGGCCTTGATGATACTCGCTATTCTCTCCCAAAGTCCCTGACCTGCAATTCTCAGCTACGAATTAGAGAATACAACAGTTTTGAAGAGATGGAATAAGATTTTTTCTACATCACCACTATATTGGCGGGTTTTGGTTTGAAATAGGTATACAATTTTACTCATTCTTATCGAATCTCTATATATAATAGCAAACCTTTTTTTATCTAACCGATGACATTATCACTTTTTTATAGGAACAAAAGTATGACGCTCTATATTCATTATAGCAATCAACGTCCTCATCATACCTGCACAAAATTTGTCCCCTGAACAACTTATCTTCCCTTTGTATCTTTTCACCCTCAGCTTTTCAATGGAACCGTCTTAAACTTTGTAACTGTTCTGAAGTTTATATTGAAGAGATGGAATGGTTTGCAGACTTGTTTCAAGTTTTGCAGATCCACGAATGAGAACAACTCAATCATTCATTTGGTTCAAATTAGTTTTATCTCTTCCATGTTCTTAACTTCTGTTAAAGACTGTCCAGGTTGCTTATACTTTCGTGTGAATCTATTTTTCTCTTATTTGGTTTGTTCCATGTCGAAGTCCAGGCAATCAGATGTCTATTAAAAAATGAGGGGGCTTGTCATAGATACCCTAAAAAATAAAGTCGAGGACAGCATAATGAAGTTTCTGTTTAAGCTCAATAATCTGTTTATGTGAATTATGATTATGATGTTTCTTCCCAGCGGCTAAAGTTGCTGTACATTTGGTAATTGTTTCACTAAATCAATATGGAGATATATGAGAACATTATGTGTTGAACACTAAGTTAATAACTCTACACATATCTTGAGTGTTTCTCCATCTGAAAATTCAACTACTAAAAATAATCAACTTTGATGGCATGAAATGGCTTTCTGCGTCTAGTCAGTACATCCCCTTATACTACTATCTCATTAAGAATTCAAACCTGCATATTTTGGCACCAAATTAATATATAGACAAACGAAGGAACCTGGCTAGACTACAAGGTCTTAGCAAGAAGAATAGAAGATAGTCTCATAAATAGATGCTTTCCAAATAACATTTGAGTACATTCCAAGGACATGAATTGCAGAGATGAGAAATTATATTTACATGGACAAAAATCAGATGTGTGATTTCAACACTTTCTAATAATTTCTCTAGGCCAGTCGTTATCATATTATTATAAATACTGCTCCCACAAATACATCAGTTCTCATCCAATTATATCAAACTATAGAGGCATAAAAAGAAAAAGAAAAAGAAAAAGAAAAAGAAAAAGAAAAGGCAAAAAAACCTAAAATAAACAAACCATCTTATTTGAGTCTATTTTTTCGGCAACGAAGCAACGTAAGCAAGCAGTGATGTTGTATCCATCATCTCAAGTTGGGGAGGATAAGGCATGGATTCCATCCACTGTGGGAGCACTAGTTGGAATAAGTATAGCGGAAGTATATCATCTCTCACCTAGGATTAACATGTTGGAACTAGATCCCCATGCAAACATTCCTAGAAAACATACTGGTTTAGGGAAAAACCTTGATGATGATCGTCTCTGAGGTTTTTGTAGTTTTTTGTCTTCAAGTTGCATGAAACCAAAAAATGGTTCTTTTGACACCATATACAGATGGTGATCATACGGATGCATCGAAATGGGAAGATAAAATATGATATCAAATTGGACGCGGATATCCCAAATAGGTTGCCAGGAATCATCATTGTTCAACCTCCAAACCTTGAGAAGATTGTCTCCCAATGTTTTGATATACATAACAAATCCGCGGGATGCAGTCAAGGCTCTTTCGAGGTCCCTGGGATTATGCTTGGGGAGAAGTATAGTCTGACATAGTTCTGTTTCACCATAGAAATCATGAGCGAAAGTTGCTACCAGATCATCATCACGACGACAAAAACTTGTTTGAGAAAAATAAAATGTTCCATTCAAGATATAAGACAACTGAGGATGGTTAAGTAAAGAGGGCAGCGAAGTTGCGTGAAAGTCCAAATGCCTGCCTCAGAAGAATAGACACACAGAGACACAAAATTGGAGGATTTTTCTCTCCAGGGTCCCACTGCAGCCAATTAAACCACTTTGAAGCCCAAAACAATGCCGTCCTTGTCCGTGGGGGTCACCAGACCAAACAGAATACATGGATAACGATATGGACGTGGAGGGATTGTCACCCACTCTTGTAACACTGAATTACCGACACAGAGAGCATCAGTAGGTCCTTGCACCAATACCAATCCACTAAAATATAAATCCCAAGATATAAACCAGTTCCGGCGGCTACCATCTCCTGCACATAAGAAGCTATAGGCTTTAGAAGACCCCATATCAGGTATCTATGGAAGTTGAAGAGTTCTTTTTCTTGGGTCCGTAATGACCAACTGCAAGAAGAATTTTGGTCCACAAACACAAAAAGACGCCGAAAATAAAAAGATTCAATTGCCGATTTCCATCTTCTGCACACTGTTTTGACTCTGGAGATGCTCTCAGTGGCAACCTCGCTAGAATCTGCGTTAAGATCTCATCTGGCAGATCTTTTCGGTGTGCAACGGGTCTCTATGAGGTGATCAGTACCATTATGCTGGACAAGTTTCACTATGATGAACAAGAAACTGGCTCTACAAAAAGCATACACAAGCCTAGTCTAAACAACAATCACAATTCTTATAGAAATAAAACAAACCTCAAAAAAGAAATAATCAAATTGATCGATAAAGATGACCTTAACTACCAACTAAGAACATTTGAGAATTTCAGTATTCTAGTTTATTCTTCCCCTGAACACCAATTTATAATCTCTTACAAATAAAGATGAATCTACTTAAAAAACTTGTCTACTACACTAATCTGTAACACTTCAGCTAAGGCTTTAAGTAACTCATTGCAAAACAAGACTTCAATTACAAGACAGAGCAATAGTACTTCCATTCATATTAATATGTTGTGTTCTAGAGACTTCATCAACTATCTCAATCATTGTGAATAGGTGTGTTCCTCTCTGCACCATAAACATGAAACTTAATAATCTGATTTATAATCCCATTTAAATAAAAAAAGCCTTAAGCTTTTTGACAAAATATCTCACTTCAAATTAGACCTGGACTAGGAGAAGTACTTCCACCAATTTGAACATGTCTCGGGATCTTATTTGTTTCGGTAACATATACACATAACTTAAGAACTCCGCTCTCTTGATGGTTGGTTATAAATTATGTCAACTGACGATCATTCCCAATTACTTAGGAAGTTCTTTTGAACCAAAGAAAGTATAATGTATTATTTGTATTGAGTTGACTAGATTTATCACTTAAGAAGTAGGTCAAAAACGAGGATTCCCTTTGTTGAGTTGGCAGGGCTCAAGTGAGGATTCTATAATCTTTTGGTTGAGTTGTTTAGTGGTACTTCCGCTCCATCACATATTCAACCAATTTCTCAGTTGTGAATGAGCAGTTTCTGGCGAGTTATGGTTTTCAGTTTTAGTATAACAATTTGTAATATTGTTGTTTTCAATCATTGTAACTGAACAACAATTTATAATCTCTTACAAATAAAGATGAAGCTTCTTAATATCTTTTTCTACTACACTAATTTGTAACACTTCAGCTAGGACTTTTGATAAGTAACTCATTGCCAACCAGACTTCCACTACAAGGAGCAATAGCACTTCCATATATATGAATAGGTTGTGTACTAGACTTCATCAACTCTTTCAATCATTATGAATGGATGCGTTCCTCTTTGCACCATAAACATGAAACTTAATAAATCTGATCTATAATCTCATATAAATAAAGAAAACTTAGGGTAAGAATTTTCGACCAAGTATCCACTTAAAAGTAGACATGGATTTGGAGAATTACTACTTCTGCCAATATGAACATGTCTTTGGATCTTATTTGTTTCGGTAACATATATACACATAACTTAAGAACTCCTCCGTTCTCTTGATGTTTGTTTATAAATGATGTGAACTGGCCGCCATTCCTAGTTACCTAGGAAGTTCTTTTCAACCAAATAAAGTATAATGTATTGTATTGAGTTGATTTATTTTTCAATTAAGAAGTAAGTCCCAAACTTAACCAATAGAGATTTTTAGCAATGCTTGAGTTGTTTTACTTTGGTGAGCTTCGATAAACATTGTCAGCTTCTCATAGATTTTCCATGAAAGCTGCCTATGAAAAATCAAGATCAAACGCAGATTATGTACACAGATCACATCTCTGATGTTCCCTGCTTTTTCATAAACCAATAAAAATATTCTTTTAGTGCCAAACCTAAGCAATTAAGCTCTTTGTAGAGAGCTTTCACCTTAGCAATGTTTGATTGTTCGATTTTCTACCAAATATTTTTTTTCGAGAAAGGGTTTTATACATTGTTTGAACCGAGTTTGGTCGTGTATCAGTAAAGAGAGAGTGACATGAATCGTCGGTGGGTTATTTCAAAGACATTTTACTATTTATGAGTGGAAAAGTAAGTTTATTGATGAGAGAGTTGGTGTACAAATGAGAAAACAAACTAGACGAGACGGCGTCACTCGGAGAGTTAGCCGGAAAAGTATAAGTCGGAAGATAAAAAGAGGTAAAAACCATAATTCTATCCGCCTTGTGAGTGAGTACTCGATTTCAGGATCTCCTTTTTCGTTGCTTCCTCCTCTCTCTTTATAGTGTGCTCTCACCACCCTCAATAACCTAGGTCGACGTTTCTTAAGAGGCCTCTCACTAATGGGCCTCCTGGCCGGCCCTTTAAAGCATACTCCCATTCGGCTGTTCCTCACCATTTAATCGCGGGGACAATTAGATTCGGGCCAAGCCGAGACGTAATTGGCTGGTGGACCGATCTGAGTCGCTTCTAAATGGACTGTTCCTATTATGCGGTGGGTCCTGAAGGATGGGGCAATCCACCTCCTACATAGATGTCAAAAAAAAAAAGGGTTTTATACCAAAATTCTCTCCAAACATCTTATGTTTATTCAATTGGGTAAACTAGTTGTTTCATGTTTCAAAACATGATACAAGTCCTACGCAAAAACTGATACATAAGAGAAGGAAAAACTGATGATCATCTCATGTATAGTATTCTAGTTTGTTCTTCACTTGAGCCTTCCAATGCCTTACTACTAACCAGGAACATTTGAGATCTTCTATGTCTGTCCCTATCTACATTGCACAACGAATGCCTCCGTCAGATAAACACCAGAATAGAATAATATCAGCTTTGAGCAAACATGATACCCTTGAAAATCTATCTTTCAAGTCTTTGTTCCAATAATAATGCACTTATCAACAACTCTGAGTAGATTATTCATTTATTAACATAGTATAATATTGGTATGGACATTCTAGTAGTACCCTAATCACCTAAACCATCAATATAATCATCATCTGCTACAATTCTTCTGGTTTCCACTTTCTAAGTTCAGCATCGACGATGCAGTGTGCTTCCTCTGCGATCTCTGCATTTCTCAACGCAGCATCAATCGCATCATTTACCTCTTCCATCTCTTTCAACTTCTCCTCCAACATTCTCTCCCCTTCCACTCTGCTCGCATTGATCTCTTCCAGCTGAGCAGCAACCGTTTTCGCTTTGTACTGTACCATTCTCTCTGACTCTTCATGCCTCCCTCTCAACTCCTCGTACTCTTTCAACGATATCCGTATCTTCTTGTCAGGCTCATCATGCGTCAAACTCTCCTTCTTATCAGTAAGTACTCTCATGTCTTCCACAGCTCTCTTCTCTGCGGTTTTCGCTTTCTTCACAGCTTTTCCAACTATCTCCAGCTGTTTCACTGCTTCCCCCATCGACATATGTGTGGCTGCTGCTTCTCTCCTGAGTTCGTCCACGTGCATCCTCATCTCCTCCGCTTCTTGTCTTGTTTTCTCTGCTTCACGCATGATCTCATCGACCTTACGGCTAGCTTCAACCCATTCTCCTTCTTCAACTTCTTGTCTCTCCTTTTCGTTTTCCTTAAGATTTCTGTTCTCTCTCTGCACTCCATCTAACTCCACCGTGAGTGATCCCACCAAGCTCTTGTATGATCTCTCTTCATCACAAATCTCTTGCATCGCACTCTTGGCCTCTTTGAGTTCCCGAGCAAGTTTAATCTCCTCTTGTAAACGCTCGTTCCCTGCAGATATCTCTGCCAGCTCATCTATATCTTTCCTCAGTTCAGGATCACAATCTTGCCTCAGATTCTCCAGCCTCTGCTCAGCTTCTCGCTTCCTTTCTGCGTAAGTTTCCCTCGCGGCCATGCTCTCCTCGTTAAGCTTTACCTCTCCCTCCTTTTTCTTATAAGCATCAGACTTCAATCTCAAAATAGTGTCACGCATCTCTGCTATCTCCTCTGACATATCTTTAATCTTTTTGGAGTTAACCATTGATGAACACTCTGCCTCCTCTGCTTTTTGAAGCTCAGCTAATCTTTCTTCCACGGAAATGCTGAATTCTTGTTTTATTTCCTTTAGCTCCCGCTTCGCCATGAACAGCTCTGCCGTGGCTAAAATGTAATCCTCTCTTACGCTCTCTGTTTCTTGGTTTTCAGATTGAAGCTGCTCTAACCGTTGAGTCATTGTGTGTTTGGTCAGGATTGCAGATTTTCTGGATTGTTTGGTGGCTTCTAGTTTAGCCCTCAAATCTGAGGCCTTTCGCTGAGCAGAGTCGAGATCAGAGAGAGCTCGTGCTTTGGCTTTGACGGAGGAATCAAGACATAACTGGACTCTTTCCATTTCTTGTTCTGCTAACAGAAGCTGCGTCTCCTTCTCAGACACATCCGGTGCATCCTTCAAGGCAGAAAGAAACAAGGCTATTTCAGAACAATGCATAATGAGAACGAGAGGAGGCAGAGAAGAGTGAATGATATCGTACCTGAGAGGACGAGGTGGAGGAGGAGAGACGCTGCTGCTGCTGTTGTTGCTTTGAGAAGCTAACTTGACGGAATAAACTAACGGCGTCTCTAACGGATTGGAAGGGAGCACGTGTGTCAATCTCTCCCACCTCACTACTCCGAGGAAGAGTCTCCGGAGGCATCACCGGAGCATCAGCTCTCATCTTCGCCATCGATCTTCTCTCAAACACAAGGTGATTGTCCTTGTTTTACGTAATGGAACAAAAAGAGATAGAGAGTTTGATGTTTCTTCTTCCAAACAATGAACCAAAGGGTCGCCATGTTTTGCGCTTATGTCTTTTCTCAGTCTTAGGCCTTCCTTGTCCTTTCCTTTATCCATCATTCTATTTTTAGACATCAAATCTTTGAATGCTAAAATAAGAAACCTTAAAGTATGTACTCTTTAATTAGAAAGATGGATATATAGAAAAATACTAATATATGGCATTCTGGAATTGCTTGCATGGTACTACTACTTCATATTGCTTAGCACTCACTGATGCTTAATAAAAGAAGAAAACTGATCATATTAGTAAGCCAGAAACACATGTCTAAAGTCAATAGAAGGTTAAGGAAGTTATGTGTGCCTGCGTCTTTTGACGTTATCTTCTGTGAATGTCTCCCATCTGCTATGATCCAGAGAGCTCAAATCATCAAGCTCTGCTATCGCCAGAAGGTACTGAGTCAGCATTATAAGCTCATCATCCTTGTCTCGGTTCACGTGAGCTTTTCTGAACGGCCTGATTTTAAGACCGTTTTGAGGGTTCATCACAAAATTCCTCCGCAGATCATTGAACATTATAGTGTTTTGGGCGATGTAGGACTGCATATAACAACAAAATCATATCCATGAGAAGAGAAATAAGACAACAATAATAAGTAATGGTGGTGTTAATAGGATCATACCTCAGGCAAGAGTGCCTAAATTAAGCCTAGTGGCTTGCAATCGAAGATCCCACGAGAGTCTGACTGAACTGTGATCATGGCTAGATGGTCAAGAAGGCCTGTGATCTTGTAGTTTGGATTGTTCAGCACGCCAAGTTCTCCCATCTTTAACTCAACGCATTTCATGCTAAAGAAACCAAAACAAGTTATCAAATATTGAAAGAAGATAAAAGGTTATATATCATTTTAGAAGAATCACCTAGTAGCAGACCATAAAATGATATCATATTCTGCATACGCAGCAGTAAGAAACTCATGAAGATCTGCAATTTAGATAATCCAGACGCTCGTCAATGTTACTGCTATGTAAACCCATCAATGATATTAGTATGTATACTACAGCTGAGAACGGTGATCAAACAAAGTGTAATCAATATCTAGAACACGAAGCTTTTTGCCTTTGCAGCATGGATTAACAGGTTTAATCTGCAAATCACACAAGAAGGAAAGAACAGCTTAAATCACTGGCCATATACAAGCTATTAATATGTTTCAGACATCATTCGTCATTCAGAAAACACACAACTAAGGATTTGAACATATCTACACAGATCACATCTTGTACTAAAATAATCACATTAAGCACGACTCTAGTTTATATCATTGACAATGGAAATGTACTAAGTATATGCTTAAAGAGTCTTCTTGTTCGAGTTCAAGACAAAGAACAGACCTTATACTGATCAATTCTTCACCTCAGCTTCTGCTTATTAACCTCTTTGTCTTTAACATCAACCACTTCGTCCTTACCAAGCTCAAAGTCATCAACAGTGTCCTGAGACGTTACTTGATCAACGATTATATCATCTTCCGTAGTCCTGAAAAATAAAAATCGAAACTTTCAATGTATTTAGCTCTCAAAACAAAGATATACAATCAGGGTTCTTAAGAAAAGGCATAAGAGAAAGAGAAAAGGACCCGATGATCGTCATCATCTTGAGAGAGGGATTGAGAGAGAGCAAAAGAGAGTCATCGGAGAGCTTGTTTCCGACTTTGGGATAGAGAAGCTTCTGGCGCTAGGGCAAGACGTTGGTGAGGAAGCAGATGCGACGCTTCAACTCAGCAACCGAGTCGTCGGCGGAGCTTGTACTCCTTCCCGCTCCACTTTAACTATCAGAGTCAGCTCTTCTTCCGTCGCAGGAGATGGGCCATGATCTACGGAAACTCACTTTCGGTCGGATCCGACAATGGGTGGGAGCTTTGAGTTTTAACAATTAAACCCAAAACACCAAAGTAGGGCTATTTTGTTACCTATCTAAACTTTGGAAATTGTAACAAAATCTAATTTATTTTGGTGACGAACTTGTAAATTAGAGAATAGCTTTTACCGTTTTGACCAAAATGATCGTAATTCCAGTGGTACCTTCTACAGATTGTGTGTGGGTCAACTAAACCCCTTGTTGGACAGATGCCAAGGAAAACATTCAACAAAAGTAGCAGAAATGGTTTGTTTGTGGGTCAACTAAACCCCTTGTTTACGTGGATATTATTTTATTAACAAAGTTTTTTTTTTTTTACCAAACTGTTTTGATGACAACACTTTGTTCTGAAGACTATTTTTTTGTTGTTGGATTCTGTATAATCTTGTTCTTTGTTAAAATGTTAAGTTGATTTTGATTTCTTTATATAAAAATTTGTTGAACTTGTTTCAGTTATAATGCTGCAAATATTATATCATCTTCTTTTTTTATTTTCTATCTGAATTTTAAGATTATATATATATATATAATTCTGGATATATTATCATAGACACATCATTCAGATAATTTTTTTGTATTTTACTACTTTTCCTTTTTCATTTGACAACCAACTCACACAAAAAAAAAACATCCCAAAAGGGAAAAAGAAATGATATGATAATGTGTTTGTTGTACAAACGTCTGGAAGAAAAGAAAAACAGTTGGGGCAGGCTTGAATATTTGTGAATTTTGAACCATCCCTCCAAATTTAGGTTAGACTTTGAAACAATAATATTAGGAAAGATAATAGACATTTCAAAACGAGAAACGGCGACGTATGCAGGTAACAAGACTAACAGCAAACATTTATCAAATTAATTAATAATAAAAAAAAGATGAAGGAATAATTATTAATTTCTTATTTTTAGTGAAGAAAAAGAAACAATTATCGATTTCTTAACTGATTAGAAATTAGGATGAATCGGCTTAAAACCAATCTCAATTAATCAATTAATTAAAAGAATATATAAAAATAATTATCACTTTTTGAATGGGAAAACCTCTCAAATAGATATTTTTAAATTTTATCACAAAATAGATCGCAAAAAATAAAATGACCAAAATAATATTTTGTTTTTAAATTTTTAAGTTTTTTATTAAAAAAATTGAAATCATACACCCAAAATTTCATTTTTCAACTCTAAACTAAAAGGTTTAAGATTAGTGAACCCAAAAAATATAGGATGTTTATCAAAACCAACCTATAATTTGAAGTCAATTGCAAAACCAACCCTTTTTTTTACCATTACTATTCACCCATGAAATTTCCAAACTATCCTTATATTTTTGAAATATTTACAGAACTGTCATTATTATTATTTTTCTTTATTATTTCGAAAATTAACAAAAACCAATTACACCCTAATCTTTTCTTATTATTTACAACAATGCCATTGTCATCAATTTTCAACCACCATAAACCACCATTTTTAAGCTCTTTAAACCTCTCAAACTCAATTTTCAACCACTTTTTTCTCATTATAAACCAAGAAATCTTCACTTCTTCTCATTTCCTCTCTATTTTCATCTAAAAACTAGGCCTGGACAATCGGGTGACCATTCGGGTTCGGGTCGGTTCTAATCGGGTTTCGGTTTTTCGGATTTACCAAAAACAGCCCCATTCGGATATTATAAAAGTTCGGTTCGGTCTCGGTTCGGGTTTTATCGGGTTCGGATCGGATCTTGTAACACCTCCTAAACCCGGTTGAACCCATTTAATTTTCGGGTTCGGTTCTAAACCGGGTTTCAAGTATCAATAATACTCATATAACCGAAATACCTCATATAACCCGAAAATCAGAACATGTTTTCTTTGCTTCATGACACACTTACAAACTCTATTAGGCTTAACTATAATTGCTATACAAAATGGAACACTTACAGGCTCGTTAACATGGATACCAAACCTGTAATGGACTAAGCTAAACTGAACAAAAAAAGTCTCCTGCTACACAAATATCAAACGTGGTTGGAATAGTGAAAAGAAAAAATCCAAAGCAACTTTATTAAACTTCAAAGTAATCAAACTAGTTCATAATAAAACTGAAAGCAATTGTCAAAGCAGAACAAATCGTTTAAGAGAGAAAAGCTGGAATAAAAAGAAAAGCCAACACCAAAACAGAAAATAAAATGAGCAGAACAAATCTCCAAACACTTCAGACTTCAAGAGCAATCTTCAGTCTTCAATTCTCACATTCCCAAACTCTGAAACGGCAGTATAAATAATAAGTAAGTGCACATAACAAACAAATGAATGATCAAAGAACTAAGATTAATAAAAACATACCTTTCTCAAGTTTGTCTAGCATTTCAACTTCAGCTAGAATCTGCTCATTTGTTTGGACTTTTGCAGAGAACTTTATATCAGCTTGCAGCCACTGCTCAGTACACATTAAAACCTCTATCATGTAGTGGGTTAGACAGCTCCTGTAGGGTTCTAAAATTCTACCACTTGTGCTAAAAGCACTTTCTGAAGCCACTGATGAAACCTGCATAGCAAGTAGATCCTTAGCCATCTCTGCAAGAACCGGAAACTTGATGCTGTGCACCTTCCACCAGCCAAGTATGTCGAACTCGAATCCCTGCAGAAGCTTCTGATTCTCAACAGGCTCCTTTAAGTACATATCCAGCTCATCCTTTGCTTCATATACTGATTCAGCAACACGCTCTTTGTATTCAGAATCCACCCTCTCATAACCAAAGTCTTCAACAACCAACTTCAACCTATCGACTTGCTCTTGACTCTCTTGAACACTCACAGGCTGTGGTTCCTTCGTCTGAGAACCCTGAGTATTAGAACCTTTAAACCGGCTAGAATACTCCTGAAACATGCTTGTAAGGAGATCAAGCACAGATTTACTCATTTCCTTGGACTCGAGACTATCCTTCCCATACAGTTTCTCAAAACAAAAGTCACAGAAATTCATCTTCTTCCTCGGATCAATGATAGATGCAAAGATCAACATCATATTGACATTCTTGATGCCATCCCAATACTTCAAAAACTTGTGCAGCATCTCTTCTGCCTTGAGCTTCAAATCTGGGTCCATGTTCTCAGCTAATGCAGTGAGATTTCTCTTGATAGTCACAATCTCACCATAGCATTTGTAGGAATTCACTTGTGAGGAAGCAGAGACAACGAAGGTGCTATTGTAGAAGATGACCAGAAACCTCTTTAACTTATCCACCGCATTCCAATCAACAATAGTAGGCGGTCCTTGCCTACTAACCCCATTGTCTACTTCTAAGAAGTAGTCATTATACAACCTATCCTCTGCTTTCATTCTATCAAAAGCCGTTTTAAACTGCAAAGCTCTGGATAGCATGAGAAATGTTGAGTTCCACCTAGTTTTAACATCTAAAGGGAGACTTCCTCGTGACATCTTTCCAGTAGTAACCTTCTGCTCAAATGAATTCAACCTATTGCTAGAGGAACGGACGTACTGGACTGCATTGCGGATAGCCATAACATTTTCCCCTAAATCAGCTAAACCCTCCTTAGCTATCAAGTTGATAATGTGGGCACAACACCTCATATGCAGAAAATTTCCATCTAAAACCAAAGAATCAGGCGCTACCTGTCTAAACTCCCTATGGAATCTCCTAATGGCTGAGGTATTAGCCGTAGCATTGTCTACCGTAATGCAAAATAGTTTCTCAATTTCCCAGTCAGCTAAGACCTCTAGAAGGACTTTAGAAATCGTCTGACCTTTATGATCCAAGACGAGTTTGAATCCGAGAATGAGTTTCTTCAACTGCCATGTTGGATCAATAAAATGTGCAGTTACAACCATGTAACTTGCACCTGCCAAAAAAGCAAAAAATAAAAATCTGATCAGAATGGTAACCAAATGGTGTCGTGATAAGTGATATTTACGTGAAAAACAAGCCTTACCTGTCACCTGAGAAACTCAAATATCAGTAGTGAGGGAAACTCTCTGCTGGTTAATGTGCAACCATCTCCTCAATGCATCCTTCTTCGTAACAAACATCTCCACAATGTCTCTGGTAGCAGTTCTTCTTGAGTGAGGCTTGTAAAGATTAACCTTGGAAATTAAATATTAAAAATACAAATTAGGTTCAGAATTGTACAATACAATTAGTCAAATATAAAAATTTTTACCTTATTGCAGAAGTGTTTCCATCCTGTGCTTTCTATGAAAGCAAGAGGCAACTCAGCTAACACCAATAACTCATTACTGGCTTGTCGAAAAACAGACTCAGGTACTCTTGATGGCTTCAAACTCCCTTCATCATCGATTTGAGTTTGAGTCTTCCCTTTGCTGATTAAGTACGATTGGTACTCTTTGCAGATGAGCAAGTGCTTCTGGAGATTGGAAGTTCCGGATTTTGTTGCACATGAGAACACCTTGTAGCAGTAGTGACAACTGCACCTGTCACGACTCTGCTTGGTCCTGGTGTAATGTCTCCAAACATCTGACCTTAGCACAACAACTTTTTTGGCCTTCTTTGCCGCAGAAATTTCTTCACAAGGTGTATCTGCTTCATTCCTCTTTCCACACCTATCCGCTGTTTCATAGTTCCTGTATTCAACTTCATCTTGCTTGTCAGCTCCAGTGTTTCGTGGGTTCTCAGATGAGGATGAAGCCATCTGCAAAGAAGTGAGAAACAATATTTAGATCAAACAATAAACATAAAATACATTAACAAATTAATTTATAAAAAGCAACGAGTGT